ATTTCTTCCCAATCTCTAACCCCTTAAATACTTCTGCATACCAAGTATTTCCACTTAGATGACTCACATGTTTATCAAACTCAGTATCTTTACTACTGAAACTATATATATATTTTTATTTATATATATAAAAATTTATATATATTTATATAATACATATATTTTATATATATTTATATAATACATATATTTTATATATAATAATATATATTTATATATATTTTATTTTTATATATTTATATAAATATTTTTTATATTATATATATTTATATATGTATATTTATGTAAATATACATATATAAATGTTATATAAATATACATATATATGTATATATAAAAATATATATGTTATATTTATAAATATATATATATTTCTGTGTTCTCTATGATGCTTACCCATTTGTTGTAATTGTTTTAGGTAGAAACGTGACAATTTTCCTGGAATTTGTTCTTCTCCACTTTCTACATTGCCTTCCTCCTTCTTCTCTCTTCTCTGTGCCCTTTCTGCAATTCCTTATCTCCTCTCTCTTCCTTCCTCCCCTTCTTCCCAGTCCTCCTTCTTTTACTTCTTCTGTTCCTCTTCTAGGTAGAAAATGCTGTGGCATTCAGCTTCCCCACAAACTCTAGTCCTTTCTTTCCTGCCCTACTTCTGAACAAAACAGAAACAATGCAAGCAAATACCCTAACAGTCTGCTATTCTGAGTTTGATTCTCCAAATACCTATTTGCACATTACCATTTACTGTGGTGACTTTGGGCAAATTCTGAAGCTCCATTTGCTTTTATTTCCGCTTCTGTAAAGTGGGTATAATAATAGCACCTACGCCAGAAAGGTGGCTAGGAGAGTTCAATGCCAGTATCTTGAAAAGACTCAGAGCAGTGCCTGGCACATGTCAACATGATATGATTATTAGCTTTATTCATATTTCTTAGCTGTTACTGTGGTTTTTTGACATAAGAGATGGGGTCCTTCTATGTTGTCCAAGCCAGTTTTGAACTCCTGGGCTCAAGATCCTTTTGCCCCAGCCTCCCAAATGGCTAGCATTACAGGCGTGAGTCATCACCCCTGACCTCTGTCATTGTTTTTATTACTGCTTCTATTATTATTGTCTGTTGGCTGTCTCCATTATTCACTACTGTGAGAGATTATTTCAATTAATGTATAAAATACTTTTTAAGGTGGTTACTCTTCTGAAAAAATTAAGCAAGCTTTTCATATGTTTTCACAGGTAAATGTTTATGAATTGGATGCTTTAGAATCTCCTTTAAAAAGTTGAATCTAGTTTTCCGGGAAGGATAAAAGACGTTTGTGGAGCTGTCTGGGGTTTCTGGAGAAACGTCCCTAAACGGCTATATCAGAGCTGGGCTGATTTGGTATGGCTCTAAAAGAGTCAGGAATTTTTGTGGCTTGGTTGTTAAAATATTGGTAGCTTGAAATTGTCAAGGATGTGAGGATTTGTACAACAGAAACTGACAAAAGCCACAAATTCGGGCTCCTGAAGCAAGAGAGCCCATTTTACTTGCATATCACTGCATAGATTTTGCCAAAAGGTTAGGGTCACTATAAACTCTGATGTTATGACAGAGCATCTTACTGTGAATTTTAATACATCTTGTGGTAAATTTTGCTTGTAAGGTTTAGCAACTACTATATGGATTGTAAGTCAGTATAATAGTTACCTGTAAGCTCAGTGTTAGCCCCATCATTCAATCTCAAAGGAGTTTCCTTTGTGTATTTTCTACTGGGTCTTTTGTACATTTCCATGTGTCTTTGAGTGATTCGTGGCCAAATGAAGTTTTTGAACTATCTTTTGAAAAGTTAAAGACAAATACACTTCTTCAATAAAAAATAAATACATATTTTCCAAAGAAAAATTTCCCATCAATTTTAGAGCCAAGTTAGGGCAAGTCAGATTTTTAGAATAATTTTTTAGTTTTACCTATAACATTCAAACTGGAAGAAAACAGAATGAGAAAATATCTTATGAGGCACTGAATATTTATGATGATAATAAGCTATAATTTCCTCTATTGAAAAACCATCTCATAAAACGCACAACTGGTTGCTTGCTTTTTTTTTTTTTTAACTTACCTAGTGAAAAACCACATGCAAGATCTTTTTGAAACTGACTAGTTCGCGGGTTCCACTTCCTGTTGTGAGGAGTGAAATCTATCTTAGATGCAATAAAGTTCTCAAAGATTGTTTTCGTTCTCCCATATAAACCAATTTAGGTTTCAAATTCATGTATATTAAATGAAACTGAAACTCTCTGAATTTGTTATTTCTATAATATCCAGTCTGTTTCTGGTCAGGGAAAACAGTTTTAACAGTTAATAATCTGCTTTAGGAGAATTACTGTCAGAACAGGGCTGACTCAATGACTCAATAACTAAGCTCCCCTTCCTACTTAAAAAAAAAGCCTTTCTTTGAGTTGGGCGCCCACTCTACTTGCGGTATTATTCTCATCCCATTTTAGGCACAAGAACGTGGTGTAGACCAAGGGTTGGTCTTAGAATTGAGACAAAGCTCACATTTTGGGGCTTTCCCTGGAAGTAGCCCTAAGGTTTGTTGGCAGAGCCGGAGGGCCTTCAGTCCCACTGGGTGTCACAGGAATGGGTGGTGGATACTGGTACCCAGCTGGGAGCGATGGAAGGAGCATCACCTCCTCTCTACCTTGGCTGATCCCATTGCTGCCTCCCAGGAACTTTCCTCTCACTCGTTCATCAGAAGGCTGCTCTTCTTATTTGTACTAATGTAATTTCATCTTGTTCATTGGGGGCCTGCATACTCTAGGAATGACTGTTAACAATGCCCTCTTCTCCCTGTTCCCCTGGCTCTTGGTTTGTCTTAAGTGCTCCCTAGGGACTCCTGGACCCCAGAGTCCCCAAAGTCTGCCCACCGTCTAAATTTACTTATTCTCTTCTTTGTCTTGAGACCTGGTTCTCTGCTAAAATTTAGCCACTCAAATAATATACATATTTGTGCAAAAATATTTTTGTCAATAGGTACTAGTTGGGTTTTACTGATCTCAGAGAATTGTCATATCCAAAACAAGTTCTAGGAGATGATTTGAGGGAATGGTTGGAACTTTAGGCCACAAGGCAGGTCAGTGGGAGGAATAATTGTGAAGTGAGGCTGAGACTACGTCCTTTTCATGATAACATGCCTGGATTTTAGTAACGTGCCATGATTATAACGTCTATACTTGCTTAAAAATTAAGGCAATTATTGCCATCTTTATGGATGATTAATTTTGGGGAAGATAAATTTTACTCTAACATTTGTCAGATAAAATGTCATTGCAGTATTTCTTGGGATCTATATTTCTTAGGAAATACAATTTAAACACTTTAGCTTCATTATAAGTGCTGAAGGAAATAGAAATCATACTTATTACAAAAATTATGATTTTTTTCTATTTACTAGACATAAAGTATTTGTTTATCTCAACAATATATTATATTACATATACTCACATAAAGGAATGTGGTTTAGTTCTCAGAGGATTTTCACAAATAAATCTGGCCAAATCTTTATAAGACCTATAGGATTAAAATGATGACCAATATCATCATTTTATAAATGAAGAAGCAGATTCAGAGAGGGCTGTTTTCTTGGGCAACACAGCTACTAATTATAATAGCCAGGAATTGATTCCAGGCCTCTGGATTTAAATACTTTCACCCTTCTTCAAACATACAGTAGGACCATATACAAGCGCTACGAGATCAATAGTTAGATACGTAGAATATAAGCCGGGCACCTCTAGAATAACATAAAATGCTGTGCTAAGCCTGCATACCACATTTTAGAACTGCTTTTCATTTTCATACTTTTTACCCTGTTCTCTACCTGTTAACAGAAAAGGTGAAGTCTTTTAAACTTAAATCAATTCAGCTTACATATTTGTAAAGAAAAAAAATAAAACTTCAAGCCAAAATTTTTTCTCTTTCTACACACATACACGCACACACGCCTGCACACATGCACACACACATACACGCACACACACACGCCTGCACACATGCACACACACATGCACACACACACGCCTGCACACATGCACACACACATGCACACACACACGCCTGCACACATGCACACACACACGCCTGCACACATGCACACACACACACATGCACACACACACATGCACACACACAAATATTTGAAAGCATTTAAAAATATTCTCCCTTTTTGCGGGTAGTCTGATTCTATGCTTGCTTAAAATGTATTGCGGAGAAAACGTATATTTCATGTATGTTGTCTTATGTCTGATTTGAAGATTTGAAGAGCTAGGCCAGAATAGTAGGTGGTAAATAATTTGTCTTCCATAAAACGTGAGAAATATTCAGAGATATTTAAAGACAGAATAACAAATTTTAATTTGTCTGTAAGTAAAAATTTCCTGATAAGGAGGGTTGATTGCTAGTGAGCTCTCACTAAAAGAGGTTGTGGAATTTCATTTTCTGGGATATTTAATTCATGTGGTTTAGGTGTAACCCTATGTGGTAGCAGGACTATGAACTTAATAGTTCAAGTGACTCTGTAATATTTTGAGATTGTAACAATTGTCTTCCAGGTTTATCTGAGTAATCATTGTTATTTTGAAATTGCAAAAGAAACAAGATATATTTTTCCTTCTCTCACAAAAATATAAAAGGGGAAATATTTTTTGATTTCGAAAACTTCTGTGAACACTGTGCTATCAAAACTGAAGTAGTAGTGAGAGAGCAGCCCGTGGGTGGGAACAGGAAACATGAGTGATAAGTGCTCTGTGCTCTGTGACATTCTTTTTTCAGGTTCAGCTCAATGTATATTGATTCTAATTAGCACATTTTGTGCCTCAGCTGGTAGCTCCCCGTTAGCTCTGCCTGGAGAGTTTTTTTTTTAGATTCCATCCTGCTCATAAACACTGCCACCTCCTCCCTCCTTCTCTCTTTACAAATGTTACAACACAATCAGAAATTTCCTCTTTTCTTTCCTTCCTGCATTTTCAGCAGGTTCCCTTGCGTCAGAAGCCGAGGAGGAAAACTCAAGGTAATTAGATCTCTTTTGTTTCTTTATAAACCCTTTCTGTGTGCGTTGAGTGTGGCTTTTCTCCGGATGCCTTCCTTGGGATCAGATTTTTGTCTGTCTTAATGCTAATATGAGGAGTGGACGGCAGATTAATTTTTGGTTATTGTTGAATCGATTTTAAGAAATGAGGATATGCTGTTCATTTGGATTAATCCCTCGTGGTGTGTCGAAAGAGCTTAGAAAAACTGGCAGTGAGTCGGGAAGTAGCTGTGTTTTGAGGTGGGCATTAACCCTTCACCATCTATTGCATAACGACTGCTATTACTATTGAGAGGAGCTACATTACTGCATGGATGTGCCTGCCAGTCTTACGATTTTGATTATTTTCACCTTATTCTTGGTGAATACTATTCTTAGACGAATACTTGCATATTAGTCTCGCTGCGCTGTTTCTTCGGCTATATCTTATACCTTCTAAGCATCAAATGAATGTTTAAAAATAAAACAGAAACGTCTTTTTTTTTCTTTTTTTTTGCATTGGCTTTGCATAAATCCAAGTCCCCAGGGGGTAGGCAATTAAAAGTTGCCTTTCACTGTGTCACATAAATCGGGGTAATACTTTACCTATGAAATCAGGGTGATAGTTTATCTACCTATTCATGTAATCATTGCAGGTTTTCTCACAATGAGTCGGAGGAGGATATCATGTAAAGATCTGGGCCACGCTGACTGCCAAGGGTGGCTGTATAAGAAAAAGGAAAAGGGAAGTTTCCTAAGCAACAAATGGAAAAAGTTCTGGGTGATGCTGAAGGGGTCGTCACTGTACTGGTATAGCAATCAAATGGTGAGTCTGCTTTCTCCCGCCTGGTCCCAGCCTCTTTTAACAAGGGGTAACATAAAGGCTTCAGGTGATCCCTATGGGAAAGTTAATTTTGATGTCTGGGAATCGGAGCAGAGTAAATAATTTATAGAAAGCACTTCCGGTCCAGTAGGTATGTAGGCTATTCTGTTGTGTTTTATGGAGAAGAAAAGCATCCTGTTCAATTACTCTTTGTTGGGGAGGAGGGGAGCGTTGACCTTTACATTCCTGATAAAGGAGACTTTGAAGTTCTGTTATTAATGTTACTACTTCACGAGGGATTCTAATCATTTCAGTATTTATGTGGGCATCACCTAACATGGCATCTTTACACGGTTAAGGTCTCTACTAAGAGGAGACTCAGCTTCACGACCTGCAAGGGTGTCAGTTGATTCAGTTCAGAGAAGCTTTTTCCATTTCTCCTCCTTTACTTTCTTCTCCCCCTTCTTTCCCTTTGACCTTCTTTATCAGATGGTTTGGTTTGGAATCACTAACCCATATGCCAGCTTTGCACTGGTGACTGTCACCTCTTGTCCCCTGATGTGCTCTGTGATAGCATTAAGCTAGTCATGCTTAGACAACATTTAAAAAGATAGTTGCCTAGTTTATTCCTTTAAAAATCAGGGTACTGCTATGGTCTGCTTCCCAGGTTAGTTTTCTGTTGAAAATGGCTGGAAATAAAGTTATCGTTAAAGAGTGTGCTGATATTTCATGGCCTGGGTCATGTTGAAAATGATGAGGTTGTTGAATGTTGAATGAGGAGACATTTCCAAGGAGAAATGCTCTCAATAAGCCCCAGTGAGGTTTGATTACTGCTCTCAGGAGAGTGTGAGTCTCTTTGTGGTACTGTGAAGATCAGCATTGGATGGCTGTTAATCAATTAAGGGGAAAGTACTTAAGAGTTGCTTATAAGCCAAGAATTTTTTTTTTTTTTGAGATGGAGTCTCACTCTGTTGCCAGGCTGGAGAGCAGTGGTGTGATCTTGGCTCACTGCAATCTCTGCCTCTAGGGTTCAAGCAATTCTTCTACCTCAGCCTCCCAAGTTGCTGGGATTACAGGCACACACCACCATGCCCAGCTAATTTTTATATTTTTAGTAGAGATGGAGTTTTATGATGTTGGCCAGGATGGTCTTGATCTCTTGACCTCATGATCCGCCCGCCTCAGCCTCCCAAAGTGCTGGGATTACAGGCATGAGCCACTGCACCCAGCCAGAAGGTTCTTTTTATGTGATATTCCTCTTGTGAAACAACTTGGACATGCCCATCATTTAAGCAACAGAGCTGCCCATCATGTAACTTTATAAATGCAAAGTAAGTACTGCATATTGTTTGTGGGCCAAATTTTTATTTGATAAATTTACATCCACTGCTAATCAGAAATTTTTGTTACTCACATACCTCTGGGCCCTGTTCATTAAAGATTTGGTTAAACCAAACCCAGATCCAATTCCAGTGCTTGGAATAAGCACACTCCTCTCTGCTCTTCTGCTCCCAAGCTATTGCTGCAGCTTCACCTCATGCAAAATGTGGCACAAAGCTCCTCTTTGGGTTCCATAAAAATAGATACTTTTTCCCCAAGCATTTGGTGCATTATTACAACTTTATCAAAATTTTAAGAGATTCACAAAAAGTCACGGGCAGAGTATGCAGTTTTCCATTGCCATCCTTTCCTCTCCTTTCTTCTCCCCTCCTGAATACATTCTTCATCATGTCTAGCATGAAGGGTTTTACCCAACTTAAGGCAACCTGGGTCTGCAGTCTTGCCTTCTATTGTAAGAGTTTTCCTAAACAAATACAGCTTTCTTCTTAAGAGGAATTGAGGTGAATATAAATGTCTCCTTCTTGTTTCATATTGTTTCAGGCTCTTGTGTTTGGGTAGTTGTGGCAAGTGATAGTCCTCCACATCTTTTATAACATGGGTGAACCTCCTGACTGGCTGCTAATTAATAGTGGTCAGGGAATTTCCCAAAGCTGTGGAAAGACTGGATGCTGATGGAGCTTGGCATGTCTGTGGAAAGTCGTAAAGCCCAGACAGAAGCAGGACGTTCATCTTCTCGGGCAGTCAAATTATTCAGCACGTATGTTCTGGGTGCTGTCCCTGTCCTCACAGAATTTAAAGGAAGTCCTTCTGAACCACATAGGCTGCCAGATTGGGCTGGCTTGGCCCCATCAGCTCATTCAGCTTATGATGCTCTTAGAGGAGCAATGAGTTACCTATTTTAGGCATTAGGAACTTCATGCTTCCACAAGGAGCAGCAGTGTTGACAGACTAGGCTAGAAAGAGGAAAAGGACAGAGCCTCAGATACACTCACGCATTCCTGCCCTGGCTTGCTTTCACGGCCACACAGAAAGCAGTATTCAGGGTGCAAAGCATGAACTTGAATACAGTTAGGTTAGCAGCATTGAACAGAGAATAAGCTTGCCATTATCTGGCTAGGGAACTATAGGATCAAATTAATGGTATGAAAACTAATGGTTGTAAAACTAATGGTATGTGGAGGAATTCTCCCTCTCTCTTCCTCTCAACCCCCACCCCCACAGGCCCTGAATCTTAATTACATGCTTATTGGAAGGGGGGAAAGGCTACTCAAGGAATGCTTGATAAGCAGTCATATTCCTGTTGTCTGTGTGGGTATCAACTGTGAAATAAGAGCCGAGCATGTCCTGTCAAGCCAAGAAACTTTGTTTACTTTCTGCCACTTAAAAGAATTCAGATTCAACAAAGTCCCTCTCGAAGCACCTAAGCCTAAGCACCTAAGAGCAGAATTCTCATTCTACCTTCCATGTTCCTTAACCTTGGGGTAGGACCAGCCCAGTCCCTACACTTTCTTATGTAACCTAAAGCTGAGAGGTAGCAGAGTCCATAGCATCTTGGGAAGAGCCACCTGTTAGTCTCTACCCTATGCCAAATGATCGCTACTTCTAGGTACCTTGCATGTATGCTCTTATTTACTCCTCAAAAACACTCTGAGAGGTAGTAACTATCTCCACATTTTGAAAGTGGGATAGACTGAAATACAGAGAGATTGTGTAAATCATCCCAAGTCGCACTGTAGTAAATGGAAGGAAACAGATTCACATTTAGGCCCCTTGGACTCCCAAGCCCATGACTTACAACATGCCAACCTGAGTCCCTTTGAGGCCAGGATATGTGACACAATTAAGACTGTCCTGTTTTCCTTTTTTTTGAGATGGACTCTGATTCTGTCGCTAGGCTGGAGTACACTGGCATGATCTCAGCTCACTACAACCTCTGCCTCCCGGGTTCAAGTGATTTTCCTGCCTCTGCCTCCCGAGTAGCTGGGACTACAGGCATGTGCCACCACGCCCAACTAATTTTTGTATTTTTAGTAGAGACAGTTTCAGCATGTTGGCCAGCATGGTCTCGATCTCTTGACCTTGTGATTCGCCTGCCTCAGCCTCCCAAAGTGCTAGGATTATAGGCGTGAGCCACTGTGCCCAGCCAAGACTGCCCTGTTTTCTGCCTTCAACAGAATTATGAGAGAACAGCTCTAAAAATGAAATTTAGGGCAATTCTCCTTTGAAATTACATGTGATCTCATTGTCATCGAATCCCTTTGCTTCTCCTCTCTCTCTCTCTCTCTCATTTCCTGACTCTGCCTGAGAAAGACCACGCCAGCCTTGCCTCTCTCCTGTTTTGTGCTGTTGTTACCCAGCCACTGATGCATGGTCTACCTTTTTCTTTCACCACACGTTGCTGCTTCAAACTGTACTACCCAGAATTCATTGAGAAAGGTCAAGTCCAGAGGCTCATCTGCCATTTTTCACACCACATGTTATGTGCTTAGAGTGTGACACAGCACACGAGATTGCTCGCCAAGTCTTACAAAGCCATATGCAAGTTTAACATCCGTAGAAATTCAGGCTGGTAAAATCTCAGATTTAAAATCCAGTTTTGTTTTCCCTTGCCCTTATGAGAAAGTACAAACTCACTTCCTGGCTTGTGGGATTCCCCTTAACTGGTAACCCTTCCTACTTCCTCACACTTGCCAGCCCAATCCATTTAAAGATGGCACTTCTTTTAATTCCTGTTAGAACATGGGCTGGCTCTCTTTAAGCCTTCGCATATGCTATTTCTCTGCTCAGAAAATGCTGTGTCCATGCCCTGATGTCTTTCTCCAATCCAATTCCGTCAAGCTTATTCTTCCTGAAAGGTCAAATTTTAGCTGAAATAGCCTTCTTCTAGAGGCACTTACCTTCCCTGGCTTAATTTTGGCTTTCTCTCTTTGTTCCCTGAGCGGCCTATCCTTTCCTTTCCTTTCTTTTCCTTCCTTCCTTCCTTCCTTCCTTCCTTCCTTCCTTCCTTCCTTCCTTCCTTCCTTCTTTCCTGCCTTCCTGTCTTCCTTCCTCCCTCCCTCCCTCCCTCCCTCCCTCCCTTCCTTCCTTAGAGGCTTGCTCTGTTGCCCAGCCTGGAGTATGGTGGTACAATCTTGGCTCAGTGTAACCTCTGCCTCCCAGGTTCAAGCGATTGTCATACCTGAGCCTCCTTGAGTAGCTGGGATTACAGGTGTGTGCCACCATGCCTGGCTGATTTCTGTATTCTTAGTAGAGACGGGGTTTCACTATGTTGGTCAGGCTGGTCTTAAACTCCTGACCTCAAGTGATCTCACCCCAGCCTCCCAAAGTGCTGGGATTATAGGTGTGAGCAACCTCACATCTATACTGGCCCATACTTTTCATACTATCATACTTGTCCTCTTTTTTGGGTACTTACTTGTCAGACTTGCTGTTTTCCATAATTGATCATCATTCTGTAGGACATGACCATGGGTATATCTTCAGCAACTTACTTCATGTCTGATAGTTAATTGGTACTCAGTTAATAGTTCTTGATTTCATATATAAGAATTAAGAATCTTCAGCATTTACATTACCCATGGGGATTTCGAGAAATGGAATCATGCATAAGGACTGGTTTTTGACAGAAAGTAGTTTTCCAGGAAAAGATTTCCACCTCTGTT